TGTGATGCTGCTTGGCCTGCTGTGTTCATCCAGCTCTACGCCTTGTTATCTCAGACTATAAACATAAGATGGCCACTAATAAAGGGAACTCGGGAGAAACTTCTTTAGTCAGAGAGAGGTGAAAACCTGGAATTCTGAGAGAAATAAGTCATTCCGAAGTTGAAACGTTAACTCAATTTCTCTGCTCACAGATGGCTGCCAGAAACTGCTGAGTATTTCCTACAGTTTCTGTTTGCATTTCACTAGGGCAGGGATTGGGTGAAATGATAGCATTTTAAAGAAAACATTCGAGGGAGTAAGGAACAGCATGCTACGTTGATGGGTTTGGATAAGGAGAGGTGGGAGGAGAACCATTTGGAAAATAAACGTCAGAGTGGTTCGAAAGCTCTGGCAACATCCTGGTCATATTTTAGACTCGGAACGGGAATTCTGTTTTTCCTCTCTCTCTCTCTCTCTAGATGCCACCAGGTTTCTCCAGCACTCTCTGTTTTTTGAGTCCAGATGTCAGCACAGTGAGAGAACTTTGCGTCATGGTCAGGCTTAGTGGGTGAGCGAGTTCAGGCCCTGGGTATTAGCCAGGTAAAACGATGGCAGTGTCTCACTCTCAGTGAACACCAACAGCTCGAGAGGTCCATGTTCACCTTTCACAGCTCCGCCTGCGACTCGCCAGGGGGAGGATCCCAAGACTGGGATTGTTTCAGCCTCAACAGCAGGGCTGGAGTCTCCCCCTCTTGGTGGGTGCAGGTTTTACAGCTCACCGATGTTGACTTGGGTGAATAGCCAAGCTTTTCCTTCCCCAGGGTAGGGGGAGTCCAAAACCAGAGAAAATAGGTTTAAGGTGAGAGGGGAAAGGTTTAAAAGGGACCTGAGGAGCAACGTTTTCACGCAGATGGTGGTGCGTGTATGGAATGAGCTGCCAGAGGAAGTGGTGGAGGCTGGTACAAGTATAACATTTAAAAGGCATCTGAATGGGTATATGAATAGGAAGGGTTTAGAGGGAAATGGGCCAAATGGGACTAGATTAATTTAGGATATCTGGTCAGCATGGACAAGTTGGACCGAAGGGTCTGTTTCCATGCCTTATGACTCTTTGACTTCACTAGGAGTAAAACCAGGGCAATTTTCATTTTCGCTCCATTTTCAACATCTCCCTCCATCTCCTCAGGTCTGTAGTGGCTGGGAGAGGGTAAAATGAAGCCCCATTTTCTCACAATGAATACCCCAAGAAAGGGGACCTTGTCAAGCACAAGCAGCTTCGCTTGTCTAAGACTAGAGACTCTTTTGACTGCCGCAATGGCTGAACTTAGAAAAACTGATAAGCGCAGCTTGCGTGGAACAGTACAGCACAGAAAAGACTGTAATCGGCTCTATTATCACGGAACTCAGGAAGCACAATATGTAGCCATCAACTGCTGGACTAGTTTCTAAGCGTCGAAGGGGACAGCCAGGAGGAACATGGATAGGAGGTTCTGTCATTCCTTGATCAGGACACAAAACTATGGAAAAACAAAAGCATATGTCTCTCCATCTGTTCTGACTGTTTCTCTGCCAAGTTGGCAGATGCTCTCATTACAAAAATGGTCCAAGAACCATGAATACATCTAACTATCAGCAGCCAATGTTTGCATAGTGCAAAGGATATTTTTTTTGACTGACATACCTATGTTCTTTCTTTGAGCAGTCTTTTTCAGTGCCTGTGTGTCTATTCACACAACGTCAACAGGAGCAAATCGAGTTTTTTGCCTTTAACTCGAAAAACGTTTCTTTATTCATTAACTCAACGAGGACGTCGCTGGCCAGGCAGCAATTATTGCCCATCCCTAATTGCCCAGAGGGCAGCTAAGAGTCAACCACATTGTTGTGGGTCTGGAGTTACATGTAGGCCAGACCGGGTAGGGATGGCAGTTTCCTTCTCTAAAGGACATGAAGCAATGGGCTTTTCCAATGATCGACAATGGATTCAGGGTCATCATTAGACTCTTAATTCCAGATATGTATTGAGTTCAAATTCCACCATCAAATGGCTGCGTTTGATACTAGACCAAGGTCAGACGGCCATTGTACATCAAAAGGAATGTTAAATCTTTTGGTTTAATGGTTTTGGTTCCAGACTTAAGGCTGTTGCTATGACTCTCAAATCCTTTAAGGTATTGTTAGTCATGTCTCTGAACTGAATGGTTCCAGCTTTATCGAAATGGACTGAGAGGTAGCTTTCAAATGACTGCCTCTATGACAGAGTAGGTAAAGGGAGAAAAAATTGTTAGAAGCAGGAACGGGAGTTGGGAATCGCAGGAAGAGGGCACTCCCGCCAGCATTAAAGGCCTTCTGACTTCGTCCTGACTCCATGAGAACGTGGACTGTAAGCACAGAAGGAGGTCACGCCCATTAAAATTAATCTTTTGCCATAGAGAATTCAGTCAGTCCCGTTTTGCCCATCCGATCCCCAAATCTCAAGAACCCACCCAACGCCCTTTTGGAATGAGTTACCATCTCCATTTCCAACACCTTCATAGGCAGTAAGTTGCAGTTATATAGCATGGAAACAGACCCTTCAGTCCATGTTGACCATAGACATGTGGGGGAGGCAATGGCCTAGTGGTATTATCGCTGGACTATTAACCCAGAGGCTCAGATCATGTTCTGGGGACCCAGGTTCAAATCCTGCCATGGCAGAACTTGAATTCAATAAATATCTGGAATTAAAAGAATCTAATGATGACCGTGAACCCATTGCCAATTGTTGGGGAAAAACCTATCTGGTTCACTAACGTCCTTTAGGAAAGGAAACTGCCATCCTTACCTGGACTGGCCTACGTGTGACTCCAGGCCCACTGCAATGTGGTTGACTCTTAACTGCCCTCTGGGCAATTAGGGATGGGCAATAAATGCTGCCTGGCCAGCGATGCCCACATCCTATGAATAAAGAAGGAAATAAATCCTAAACTAATCCCAAGTGCCTACTCCTGACCCATATCCCTCCAAAAGTTTCCTATTCATGAACTTATCTAAATGTCTGTTAAGCATCCTAACTGTACCCGCTTCCACCAGTTCCTCTGAAAGTTCATTCCACACATGCTCTGTGTAAAAAAAGTTATGACCACTTTGTTTGCATACAAAGGCTGTACCTCACATTCCCTTATCCATCCCTTGCTGCCACAACATTAAATCTGTGTCGAATAATCCCTGGCATCATTAGCTAATGGGAAGAGGTTCTCTTTCTCAACTTACTGTAACCCTTGAGGCTCTTATAACCCCTCAGCCACCCTCGCTGTAACCCCAGCTGGTCGAGCCTCAGTCTGCAGCTAAAATCCCTCACCTCCTGAGCTGTTCTGGGAACTCTCCTCCTTACAGTGAGCTGAAACATCCTCCCCACTGGCCTGACCTGCTCAGCATATGCCCGCATTTCCCCAATTTCAGCTAACGGTGCGTATGGAGAGAGTCATGACTCAAGTCTCACCGCATCGATCATTGTCAGCTGCGATGCCGTCACGTCTGCAGTGAAAGTCAGAATATCGACTGTTTCCTCCTTCTGCTGCGGCTTGCTCCCGGTCTCCTCAGTCTGTGCCGGCTCGCGGCCCTCCTGGTCTCGAACTGACAAATCGAAAACATTGGTCACTGGGACACAAATAAACGCCAACCTGCGCACATATCAGTGAGCACAGCAGGGGGCGAGGTGGTGGGGGAGCATCGGTAGGTACAGGGGAACCATTTCTCGAACTGGGGGGGGAGGTGGTGGGTCACAGACTAAGCGTGGGAAATCATGGAGAAAAACCCGGAATCGCTTCTCCACGCGAAGGCTGAAAAAAAGGTCCCAGTGCCGCCCACAAAAAGTCAAAGATAACTTCTAATGCTGGGCCGCTTGTTCACGTAACGTTTGTGATTGAGTGAGAAAAGATTTTTTTTTTCAGATTTTAAAGGCAGCGAGCATTAAGGTAGAGGATCAGCCGGAATCATGTCTGTAGTGACTTTAATAGGGTCAGCCAGCTAGACCTCACAGAATATGAGTTCCCTGATTGGGCCTGTTAATCTGGTCCAATAAGGGAGCCCTGGCTGACATAAAAAGAGGGCTGCCGGAGATACTGCCACTCTGATAGCTGCCCTGAGCAGGCAGTACTAAGGTCAAAGACTGTATATGTGCAGATGAACGGTCACTGGACGGCGACCTCTGTCGAGTTATTTCAATATTGAATGGCAGAGCAAGCTCAAAAGGGCTGAATGGCCTACTTCTGCTCCTAATTTCCATGTTTCTATGATTCTGGTAACCAAACGTGTTCCAGGATATGAGACATGGAATGGTGTGTGGAGTTTGGTCAGAAATCAAACAGGATCCTATTAAGTGTCAATACGAGTTTGAGAAACAAAATGCAGTCTCCTCCTATTGCCCATATTTTGCACCATCGATGACGTGTTGCTGGACTCGGCTGATAAAAAAACAGCAAGGGGAGTGAGACCTTTGGGATCGCGCTTCCAAAGGGCTGGCACAAGTACGGTGGGCCAAATGGCCTCTTTCTGCCCTTTGACATTCCTTCCTGACCATTTTCCTTGACGTGCCGCAGTGCCTCATAATTTGTGTGACCTGGTCTGGGAGGTATGGAATTCACTCGGGAAGGTTTTGAGGGCAAAGAGGAGGCTTCAGTTCTTGAACTGGGAGTTTGGGGTGGCGTGGGGGGACAGGGAGCGCAAGCCTTGGGTATTCAGAGGAAGCAGGGAAAGGCAGACAGTAAAAAGGCAGCATTTCTGCAACAAGTGACAGATGAATAAATATTCACGCATGCGTTGGCTTTTTTTTTCGATCGCTGCAATTGGGTTTGACAGGTCACACCCAGCAACAGCAAGTTAGCAACTGCTGAGAGAGGCCTCAGAGCTGGAAGAAATGTGTCTGGGAGTCCGAATAAACCACACCTCCTGGCCTGCCCTCATCCACGTCTTCCTTTTGTTACATTCTCACAGAATTCCAGTTGTTTCGTCAAGTTTGATTTCTCTTTTGTAAATCCTTGCTGACTCTGTCCAATCCCACCACTGCTTTCCAAAATCTCAGTTCTCAATTCTTTTATAAGGCACTCTAGCATTCCCAAATCTCCGCCCCAACCCTGCAACTACCGAGGTCAGGCTGACTGGTCTATAATTCCCAGTTTTATCACTGCCTCCCTTCTTAAAACGTGGGATTACATTTCGCTACCCTCTGATCTATAGGAACTGTTCCAGAGTCTAACGAACTTTATAGATCACGGAACCCTTACAGGGTGGAGACAGGCCCTTCGGCCCAACAAGTCCACACCAACCCTCAGAGCATCCCACCCCTCTAACCTACACCTCCCTGAATACTACGGGCAATTTAGCATGGCCAGTCCACCTAGCCTGCACATCTTTGGACTGTGGGACGAAACTGGAGCACCCGGAGGAAACCCACGCAGACACGGGTAGAAAGTGCAAACTCCACACAGACAGTCGCCCGAGGATGGGATCGAACCCAGATCCTGGCGCTGTGAGGCAGCAGTGCTAACCACTGAGCCACCGTACTTGGAAGATGATTACCAAAGTATCCATTATTTCTAGGCCCCCTTCCTTAAATGCTCTAGGATGTGGATTATCAGGTCCTAGAAATTTATCCATCTTTACTTCCATCAATTTCCCCAACACCATTTCCTGGCTTTAATAAAACGGAGAACTGTGGATGCCAGAAATTCGAAACAGAAATCGCACAGATGCTGCAAGGCCTGCTGAGTTTCTGTGCTTCTGCCTACCAATTTCCTTCAGTCCTCCCTCTTCACTAAAAGCTGTGCTCACCAACATTTCTGGTATGCCACTTGCAAACACAGAACTGAAATATGTCTTCAGTCGGCCAGTCATTTCGTTGTTCCCTGTTAGAAATTCCCCCGTTTCTGACTGGAAGGGACCAGCATTTGTCTTGACTAGTTTTTTTTTTCTCTTCACGCGCCCATAGAAACTTTCAGTGTCAGTACTTAAGTGTCCCGCAAGCTCACTCTCAGAGCGCTGTTAGGGGGGGGTAATCGACTTTTTCCTTTCTTAATCAATCCCTCCTCTGTTCCAGAACCATTGTTTGTCTTTGTGGCTAACGTGGATCTAATACTATATCTAATTTGCTTCATAAACCATTGTTTGGTCCCCTTTCCTATTTTACTTCTTCATCAGACAAACAAATGTTGGCAATCACCTTTTCCACCATCATCCCTTTGAGTGACGTTGCCCAATCTATTAGCGCCAACTGATGCCTCGCACCATCGTAGTTTCCCCTTCTTAGATTCGGGAGCTTTGTCCCAGAATCAACTAAGCCACCCTCCAACTTGAGAATTGCAAATAATTAATCCAGATGCTTGGGAGCTGAGTCGATGGGTGGAGTCAGGTTGACAGACACGGAGTAAACCATTATTGGTCGGGGAATTGAGCACAAGCGTCAGGACGTCATGTTGCAGTTTTACGAGACTTCGGTTAGGCCACACTTAAGAGTATAGCGTTCAATTCTGGTCCCCACATTATAGGAAGGATGTGGAGGCTTTGGAGAGGGTGCAGGAGAAGTTCACCAGGATGCTGCCTGGATTGGAGGGTATGAGCTATAAGGAGGGGCCAGAAAACCTCAGGTTGTTTCCTCTTGAGCGGTGGAGGCTGAGGGGAGACTTGATAAAAGCCTATAAGATTATGGAATGCACAGATAGGGTTGACAGTCAGAATCTTTTTTCCCCCCAGAGTTGAAATGTCTCATACCAGGGGACACACATTTAAGGTGAGAGGGGGAAAAGATCAAAGCAGATGTGAGGGGCAAGTTTTTTCTTAACGCAGAGAGCAGTAGGAGTCTGGAGCATACTGCCGGGGATGGTGGTGGAGGTAGATATGATAGGGTTGTTTAAGGGGCTTTTAGATAAGCACATGAGTATGCAGGGAATGGAGGGATATGGACCAAGGGCAGGCAGAAGGGATTAGTTTCATTTGGCATCAGGTTTGGCACAACATTGTGGGCTGAAGGGCCTGTTCCTGTGCTGTACTGATGTATGCTCTAATGTTTCACTTTCTCAAATTGTCTTTCTCCATCGTGTGACCTCAATTATTGCACAATTTTTCTGCTTCACTTGGTTCCACAAATTAATAAACAAACATTCTCAAAAAGCTTCCCATTTCTTTCAATGCTTCCTAATTTTAGTCCTAATCTGTGATCATTTAAGCATGTTTGAGGCCTTACACTCTGTCTGAACTAATCTGTTTCGGGGTTAATCCCGCAGTGCTGTCGGGGGGTAATTACAGAGTGCTGTGGGATGGTAATTACAGAGTCCTGTCGAGGGGGGTAATTACAGAGCGCTGTCTAGGGGGGTAATTACAGTGTGCTGTGCGATGGTAATTACAGAGTGCTGTCTAGGGGGGTAATTACAGAGTGCTGTTGGGAGATAATTACAGAGTGCTGTTGGGGGGGTAATTACAGAATGCTATTGGGGGGGTAATTACAGAATGCTATTGGGGGGTAATTACAGAGCACTGTTGGGGGGGTAATTACAGAGCGCTGCTTAGGGGGTAATTACAGAGCGCTGTTCAGAGTGTAATTACAGAGTGCTGTTCAGGGTGTAATTACAGAATGCTGTTGGGGGGGTAATTACAGAGCACTGTTGGGGGGTAATTACAGAGTGCTGTTCAGGGTGTAATTACAGAGTGCTGTTGGG